CCCCCCCCCCCCCCCCCCCCCCCCCCCCCCCCCCCCCCCCGCCGGGATTGAGACACGGATGCTTCTTTTCAGGTGGAAAAACAGCAACCTTTATTTTGCCCAGCAACCTTTTATACCTCTACTCCTTCTGTGGAGACCCACCGGCCAGAAAGAACACAAACATCCTTGTCAATTACAGACCACAAGGAAGTTCCGCTGTCAGTCAGGGGGAGTGAGGGCAGCTGGATCACAACAACTCCGCCTGTTTTATTTTATAATACCTTCCCTGTCATGGGGAATAGCCCTCTAATTCCTGTCTTAGGTAGCATCCTGCCCCCAAAGTATTGCCCATCCATGGCTATCTAGACAAATAGCCCTAAACCAAGTATCCCCGGGACTGACAGTGCCAAGGAGCCAGACCAGCGCTGCAACCAGCTAGCATGCACTAACTGGGTGACAAAAATAACAAAAGCAGTATTCCAAACCCCTCTCATATGACGGTTGAGTTCCATAACAGTAGCAGAAGCATGCAACAGTGCCATGAGTAACACACATAACATGATTAACTGTTGAAAAGTCCAGATAGCCCACTTGCTCCTGAACCAGAGCTACTTGTTGGTTCAAGGTCAATATGCCCAACTGAATATGTTCATTAAGATCATTTTGAATGTCCAAAGCATTGCTGACTCTTTTCGGCAAGCTGGCTGACAGTCTCAGCCGTCTGCACAGTCTGTGAGAGAGCAGGTCCGGCAGCAGTAGCTGTGGTACAAAGCTCTGCTCCAGCTGCCTTCTGGCCCCAGCCGCACTCACTCTGGATCCCCCTCCTGTACAAAATCTTTGGCTGTCTTCCTTATTACTACTCCCATGCCTTGTTGCTTTTAGAGTTTCAGTTACTTTTTGAGGCCTTTCAATTCACCCTTCTGCCTCTTTATATATGCTCATCTTTTGGAGGATGTCCCCCAGAGTTATCTCTGGGGATGAAAAATAAAAAACACTTTACCTTCCCCAATACGCTCCTCGATTTAGCCGGTGACTGGAGCGACCCCGTTCACGTATCTCCACTTTCCAGATCTCCAAGGAACCTCCCCTTGTCAAAAACCAGCGTAGCCTGGATAGCCAAGACTGGCGGGGGTGTGTGTGTGGGGGGGTGCCGGGACTGAGACATGGAGACTTCTTTTCAGGTGGAAAAACGGCAACCTTTATTTTGCCCAGCAACCTTTTCTGTGGAGACCCACCGGCCAGAAAGAACACAAACATCCTTGTCAATTACAGACTACAAGGAAGTTCCGCTGTCAGTCAGGGGGAGTGAGGGCAGCTGGATCACAGCAAAAGTGAGGATCACAGCCCTCTGTATGAATGGGAGACAGGAGCGGAATCCAACATCCAGGTGTGAGAGGGGAAACGCCCAACCTGGTCCAGTCTCTGAAACAACATTGACTAAAGGAGGATCCCCATCAAAATATATCTGAGCTGCACACACATATCTTGTGTGTGTGTGTGTGTGTGTGTGCTTCTCTTGCTTTAAACGGAAGCACAGCGGTGACAGTGGAAGAGAGGAGAGGTCCCCAGAATGCAGCTCAGCCCCTAAAAGGCTCCAGCTTGTATTCTCATTTCCTACCCTACACCACCAGGTGGGGCAGGCAAGGAAGCAAGCCTTAACAAAAGCCTGGTCGCAGTCAGCCGCAGGTCGTTAAGGACAAGACCTTAACAGCCATTTCTCCAGCCCACCCTGCTTCAGACAGCAAGTGAAGTCACGCTGGAGGAACAGGCAATACAAGCAGTGCTCTAAAGTAAGTCACTGAGCAAATCAGTGTGTAATTACTGGTCTTTCCTCCTCTGCTTTAAGTGGCTGTGTTCCACCGAGTCCCAAGGCCGAACCTTGGGCCTCTTGTCAGGCAGGTGTCTCTGCTGAGCTGGGAGGGTCAACTCCTCTGAGTTGTTTCGGGTCTGTAAGCCCTGACTGAGCGTAAAACTCAGGACAGGCGGTTGATAGGATCAGTAGCTGAATTTCTAATTTCTCCTTTTTTCTTTGCAAACAAGGTCTCGTTATGTGGTCCTTGCTGGCCTAGACATCGAGACGTAGACAAGCAGGCCCTCGGTCTCAGAGCTCCCTCTGTGTCCTTGTCTCCTCTGCCTCGCCCACCGGCCCCTGCCTCTGCCTCTGGAATGCGGTTGTTAATGGTGTGCTACTTCCACACCCAGCAGCAACTGAACTAAAGCAAAAGAAAAAAACTTATTGTTTGAGGGCTCTTTTTCCCGTTGTGTTGTCTGTTTTCACCGAGCTGTTGAGCATAAGAGTCAAGAGAAAAGCTTTCTGGAATCCTTCTGTGGATTCTGGGGGGTAGAACAGAGGTCTCCAGGCTTGCAGAGCAAGCACTCGCACGGTCTAAGCCATCTGTGCCGGCGCGTGAATTATTTTTTTCTTCTGAGACACGGCCCCCTTGTAGCCCAGGCTGGCCTCAGCCTCCACCTGGCCGTGGATGGCTTTGAACCCTTGGTCCTCGTGCTGGACCTACAGGCTCACGTCAACACTGCATCGATACCCCAGCATGTCATCCCGAGACGGTGCCCGCGGATAGCGGATGGTGTGTAAAGGGGATGGTGTACAAAGGTCTGGAGGTGTGGCCGTCCGCGCAGTCTCCCTTCAGGCCCAGGGCGAGGGGCCATCTGGGCGCGTTCTGACGTTGGGTCAAGACTGGGCGGAGGCTCTGAGCAAGGCCTCTGAGGACAGGGGAGGGCGGGGCGTATGCAGATGAGCTGTCGCGCAGTGGCTGCCGGTCCGGCGGTGTCGGCTAGGCGCGTCCCGCGAGCTGACCGTACCGCGTGGGGTGGATGGATGCCCGTGAGGAGCTCGGAGGGCGGCACGAGAGGACGGCGAGGCGGCGTCGCGAGGGCGGTGACCGTTGCTTATAAGTGCGTGTGTGGTGAGGGAGGGCACGGTCGGGGCGCGAGCAACTCATACTTACCTGGCAGGGGAGATACCATGATCACGAAGGTGGTTTTCCCAGGGCGAGGCTTATCCATTGCACTCCGGATGTGCTGACCCCTGCGATTTCCCCAAATGCGGGAAACTCGACTGCATAATTTGTGGTAGTGGGGGACTGCGTTCGCGCTCTCCCCTGGTATTTTGGTTTGAATAATAGAAAATGATATAGCTTTTTACTTTAGTGACTTCTGGTAGGAGTCCGCAAGTGTAAGCACAGCCGGAAAGAGGGCTCCGGCTTTCGCCACCGGTGCTTGTTACTCGCTGTGTTGCTGCTGGGAAAGGGGTTTTAGTCTGGAAGTGTTGCAGCCAGTGCGCTTAGCCGCTGAGCTATCTTTCCAGCCCAGTATATAAATTAGTAATCACAGATTGGAAAGTTTAGGTAGGTGGCTGCCTATTCTCTTTTATTATGCAGGTCAGATTTTACCTATTGGGCAAAAAGGCACCACTGACAGCTCCCCACCCGTCAGTTAATTTGGGATGAGCTAAACCATCAATGGTGCTAATAAAGGTGAAGGAAAGGTTCGACGGCAGGCAGGTGTGTCCAGCTGCTTCCACACCATCTGGGACATAATAGTACAACTTTCTGAGGCTCTAGGCCAGCTAAGGCAATCCAACCAACCAATCCTCACAAACAAAAGATAAATTAATGGCTTCGCCTGGGACTGGAGAGGTGGATGGTTCAGTGGTTAAGAATACTAACTGTTCTTCTTCCAGAGGACCTGGGTTCAATTAATTCTCAGCACCCGCATGGCAGCTCACAACCGTTTCTAACTCCCAATTCCAGGCTCTCCAGCACCCTCTTCTAGACACCACAGGCACTATGCACATGTGGTGCAAAGACAACCATGCAGGCAGGCAAAACATCCATACACACAAATACTTTTTATAAACTTGGAGTAAGACTTTCCTTTGGTCAGCCAGCTCACAAATAACAAGGAGACATTAATTATGAAAGCTCGGCCTATATAGCTTGAACATGTTCCTAGCTAGCTCTTATATTACTTAACCCATTTATATATTAATCTATATTCTACCTCTTGGCGTCATCTTACACCTCCTGTTCGCTCCCAGTGTCTCCTGGCATCTCCCGCGTGCCTCTTCCTTTTTCTCCTCGGAAAACCCAATGCCTCCTCCTCCTGCATATTCAGCTTTTTATTACACCAACCACAGCAAATACATCTTCACGCAGTGCATAAAAATCCCACAAAACTCAAGAAAATTAAACTAAAATTAGTTACTTTTACTGTAGATTTTCCATGTAGCCCAGACTGCCTGGTTCTTGGTCCCTCATCTCTCTTCTTCCTTCTTTTTTCTTTCCCTTTCTTTTTTTCCTTTCTTCGCTCTTCTTCCTTCCTCTTTTCTCCCTCTTTCCCTTCCTCACTCCCTCCATCCCTCCTTATCTCCCTCCCTCCCTTTCTTCGTTTCTATTTCTCTCTCTTTTTCTTTTTGGTGTGTGTTGGAGAGTGTCTCAGAGTTCTTAACTGGCCTGGAACTCTCTGTGCAGACCGACCTTGTACTGGGCTCACAGACAGCTCACAGAGATCCTCCAGCCTCTGTCTCCAAAACATTAAAACTGAGTTCAGTCCTTGAAACTCACATGGTAAAAGAAGCAAATGGATTTCTACAAGGTGTCCTCTGGCACATGTACCCACCCCAAAAATGTGGAAAAATTTAATGTACGATTTGTGTCTTAATAATAATTAATAAGGTTCCTTATGCTTTAGCTTTGGTGGAGGGATGTTGCGATAGATTCACACGGAACATGGTTTAGCGTTGCTGACCACCGGCAGAGGAGATAGCAGATCCAACAGGAGCACCAGGAGCAGGTGAGTACCTGCTCCCTAGAATTCTTTATGAGTGATAGGGATCCAGATTCTGGTTCATATTTGTGTGGGAAATTCATAGAATCATCCCTCCCTATCCCCCCCCACCTGCCCAGGCCTCCTCCTTCCCTTTTTTTCCCTTTAAAATGTATCAAATGTAGCGGGGCGGTGATGGTGCACGCCTTTAATTCCAGCACTCGGGAGGCAGAAGCAGGAGGATCTCTGTGAGTTCGAGTGCAGCCCTGTTTACAGTAGCTAGTGCCAGGACAGGTTGCAAAGTTACCCCAAAATCTTGTCTCGAAATTTTTTTTCTCAAATGCATATATGGGTATTTTGCCTGCATGTATTCCTGTGCAGTGCCCACCTAGGCCAGAAGAAGGCATCGGATCCCCTGAAACAGAGCATTGTGAGAAGAATCTATGTGGGTGCTGGGAATCGAATCCAGGTCCTCTGGAAGAGCGGTTCTTAACCACAAAGCATCTTGTGCATACACGTCTTGTGATGTGTACACGGACAGCACGCAGTTTCACAGCTCTCCTCCCGTGCTGACAGTCCTTACAGCCGTCTGAGTTCCCGGAATCCTGGGTGGGGAGGTTGCTGTAGATCATCCATCTGCAGTGGTGCTCACAGTTACTGTTAGCATTTTGACAAGTTGTGGATCTCTGCACCAACCGCTATGTCAACGTGTTGCAGAGAAATCCTTCTCCGACCAGACAGTTGAGACCAACACGGATTTTCTATGTATGAAATATACAGTTGGACGGCATGATCATTTAGCACAAGTTATGTGAGGGGAGACATCATATCCTTCAGTGGTGTATATTGCTGGAGACTTTGGGGTTGTGAGGAGGAACAACAATGGAGTAAAACCCACTTATCTATGCCTCTGTAAACCGTGAGTAGTTTTAAGCCTCTGAGGTGAAAGAAGTCGTTTTTTGATCAACTAGGCTAAGAATTAAGAATATAGTGACTGGCATGGGGCTTGGAAACTGAGGAAATATGATGAATGTTCTGATTTCAAAGAATCTTTGTATTTTTTGTGAACTGCTTTGTTCGTGTAATGATTAACCTGTAGCGAGAAAAGACAATCAATTTCCTTGTGCAAAATTTATATACACACACAAAACCAACCTTCTGACAACCCTTGTGAAATTCACTGGCTCAGAATAAATGATGCCTGTCTCAGTTAGGGTTTCTATTGCTGTGAGAAAACTCCACGGACAGCGGTGGATGGCCCTTTAACCTCAGCATTCAGGGGGCAGAAGCCAGCAGATCTCTGAGTTTGAGGCCAGCCTGCCTGGTTTACAAATCGAGTTCCAGGACAGCTAGGGCTGTTACACAGAGAAACCCTATCTCAAAAAACAAAAAGCAACCCACCTCCCCCCCCCTCCCAAAAAAAACACCCAAAGCGAGAAAGAGAAAGCAAAAGCCTCACAGCAAGATCTTATAAAGGCATTTTCTTGAAGTTCCCTCCCTTCCAGTGAGTGACTCTATCTTGTGTCACGCTGACATAAATATAGCGAGTATACCAGGCAAGCTTTAAATTCACCAATATCCTGCACCGTCTGAGTGCTGCTGAGATTAAACTGTCTTTCTGTCAACTCGACAGGAGTCACTTGAGAGGAGGGAAGCTCAGTTGAGATACTGCTTCTATAAGATCAACGATAGGCAGGAGAACCGGAAGAGCATTTTCTTAATGGTGAATGTAGGAATACCCAGCCCGTTGTGGGCAGTGCCACCCACCCCTAGGCTGGTGGTCCTGGGTGATGTAAGAACGTGGTCTGAACACGTCTCTACGGCCTCTGCTTTAGTTTCTGCCTCCAGATTTCTGTCTTGAGTTCCTGCTCCGACTTCCTTCAATAGTGATGGACTTGTGATGTGGAACTAACTGTAGGTTTCAATAAGCCCTTTCCTCCACAAGTTGCTTTTGGTTTGTCCTGTTTTTCTGGTTTTTATTCGGAGTGCTGGGATTAAAGACATGCACCACCAACACCCACCCAGCTGAGCGGCATTTTGTTAATTAGTGATTGATGGGGAAGGGCCCAGCTGGTTGGAATGGCCCACCCCATGCCTGCGCTGTTTGTCTTGGAGTCCGTAGGAAAGCAGGCTGACCTGAGCCAAGTGATGGCACACGCGGTCATGTCCAGATCAGGAAACCCTACAAATGCTCCCACAGTACCCATCCGTGGCCTCTGTATCAGCTCCAAGTATCAGGGACCTCCCGCACGGGGATCCACTTCCTAGTCCAAAGCTAAGTTTTTGGCTAATATTAAGAAAGACCGAGGGCGGGTGCTCCACCTAAAGAGGGAAAAAAATCACATAGATTACTACAAAGGTTTCCTGCTGTGAGCAAAGATCTGTGTTCTATTTTTCAACCAGAGTAAACCAGGGGAGAGCGCGAACGCAGTCCCCCACTACCACAAATTATGCAG